ACCCCCAGCGGAGAGAGAGAGAGAGAGAGAGAGAGAGAGAGAGAGAGAGAGAGAGAGAGAGAGAGAGAGAGAGAGAACAGCGGCTTATCCGACAATGCAAGGCATCGAAAAATTAGCTTATGTTTTATCTGTCTCTGCTTACCACCGATTTATTCGTTTTTATTGTTTTCTTTTTGTTTGTACGTTGTTCTGTTGTTTCGAAGTTACATATTATTTCCATAAGAAAGTCGTTTGTATTTTTTCAGTACGAAAAAAATGTGCGTGAAATGCATGTTTGAAGAAAATTATACTTCTTGTCGTCAGGTGGAATAAAGTCCTAATGTCAAAATTTCGGTTCTCGGTTTGTAGAATGATTTTAGGTTTTTAGGTTTCACGGTTTAGGTTCTCGCTCTGCGATAGAGAGAGAGAGAGAGGAGGGGGGGGGGAGAGAGAGGCCGCAACCGTCGTAACGCCTTAGCCTGACTAGTGAAGTGGCCGCTGGAGCGGAGAGAGAAAGAGAGAGAGAGACGGCAACCGACTTTACATGGGCATCGTTGGCAGCTGGGTAGGACGAGGGGATGATAGAGATTGGAAAGCCAAAGACTGCACTTGTCGAACTTAACGTTGCTCAGTAGTTGGTACACCCATGAAGTGTTGAAATTACAGACCTGAGTTCGAGTCCCAATCAACTCAGATGACCAAATACAGACCTGAATTTACACTGGGGGTGATTAGTTCGAACTTAACCTTGAAGATGATATCTCGGGACCGTCGGTTTTTTTTGCCCTTTTTTTGGAAGGCCGTGGTATAGTGCGTCTGGTGTATAAGATAGAGTCAGACTTTCCGAAGTTGAAAAACAGCGTGGGAAACAGTGTGGGAAACAGGGCTGGAAGCAGGTTTGGGAACAGAGTGAAAAACAGGGTTGGAAATGGAGTTGGAAACAGGATTGGCACCACAGTGGAAAACAAGGCGGAGTGAGAACAGGGTTGGAAATAGAGTTGGAAATAGAGTTCGAAACAGACTTGGAAACGGGGTTGGAAACAGGGTCGGAAACGGGGTTGGAAACAAGGTTGGAAACAGGGTTGGAAACAAGGATTGGAAATGAGAGAAATTAGCAGCAATCAGTTCTGTGACACAAAAGACCCATTACCTATGTCCATTTTTCCAATCGATCATGTCAGCAGTACTACAGGTAACACGTGGCATTGATGAGGATTGAAGGAGTCCATCAATCCAACGCCTCCCGCTCCTCCTACAGAGTGTAAACCCGTCATCAGTAACATGTGCGGCATTATACACTAGTACCACTGTCCGCTGCAGTTTGCATGTTGTGTTGTCAATCCTCGTCCATGTAGTACTTTGTGTTGTTCTGTGCGATGTGGTACGGCAACTGTCTGAGTACCCACATTTGGAAAAATGTTGGGGCCGTGGGCCAGGGCAAGCCTCGTGCCTGTCGTGCTTGTCATGACCAACTGGCGCGCTGCAACTGTCTCAGTATCCACATAGCCTACCAAATACGACTACCACTCCTTTATGGGCTGAAATTGGGGACTAGGAATGGGGATCGGGAATGGGGATCCGGAATGGGGATCGGAAATGGGGACTGGAAATAGGGATTCTTCTGGTTTGTGTTTGTCAGTCTTGAAGCAGCTTTGGATTCCTTCTTAAGTGGTGAAGCTTCTCCCCCACTTCCAGCCCTGCAAGCGGTGAGCGATCTCTCTGACTGAGAGTCTGAGACCCTGATTACAGACATAAGACATTCTGCTAAGTGAATTTGGGGCCCAGAATCGCACATGGGCTTCACAGTCAATTGATTGTCTGTCATTTTTTAAGTAAATGCCTGCACTTGTTTTGATTCAACGTGCCCACACTGAACTTCGTATGCACAGCGGCTTCACAGTCATGCACAATGGATTCTCTGCAAGGACTTAGCAGCCCAGCATGTTGGAGAGTACAGATCATGTGATTGCTTTTTCGAAAAGAAACCCTAAACCCTGACCCTCAACTGTAAACCCTAAACCCTAAACCCTGAACCCTGAAATGTCAACCCTAAAACCTAAGCCCGAAACCACCCTAAGCAGTGGCAATGTACGGGATTAAGTACGTAAACTCGTTTTGGTGTCCTCCTTTCTTTCGCTGGCCCTTAACCCCAAACAAACCCTCAACCCCAAACCCGTCGAGGCTATGATATGTTTTCTTTGCTTCTGCACCCTTTCTACTAAACTTAGCTGCTGTGCGTGTGTGTGTGTATGTGCGTGTGTGTGTACATGTGTGTGTGTGTCTGTGTGCATATTTGTGTGGGAGTGTGTGTGGGAGTGTGTGTGTGAGTGTGTATGTAATGTCTATTTATGTATGGTCAGTCATATTTCCTGTCTTGCAGTTTAACTCAGTTCTGGGATCCTTGGTGTTTTTTTTCGTCTTTCGCACCTTTTCGAGTTCGACCTTTTAACGTCTTGCTAATTTCTTCTTCACTTCATAAAACAATATAGGTATGTGCTTTTTATTTCAAAAAAAAAAAAAAAATAGAGCCCTCAGGTTTTCCCTCCTTTTCCGTTCTCGGGACCCTTACAGCCGGCTCCTTTTCCACCGGCAAGTTGGAAAAGGTTACAATAACTACTAACACACGCGACTCACATCATGGTGGGAAGGCGGTCCGAAGGCCTGAACGACGAGATTTATATAAAAATGTCGACAATAGAGGGGATCAACTTTTCCTTTGCTTCGTTTATTTTACCTTTTAATTTTCGCGAGTTTTTCTTCATATTGCTCACAGGTTATTTACACCGTGTCGGTTATGATCTGCAACTTATTTTCCTGGCTTACATTTTGTTTGTTAGGGGCTGGGGCTTACGGGTTAGGGGTTGGGGCTTACGGGTTAGGGGCTGGGGCTTACGGGTAAGGGGTTAGGGGTCAGGGGTTAGGGTTTAGGGGTCAGGGGCAAGGGGTTAAGGTTTAGGGATTTGGGTACGTTGCTTCATTTGCGTCATTTGTATTTGCATCCTCCTTCAGCCATTGCTTGCAACATGACAGGCCACCATGTCACTTTTTTGGTTCACTATTACGACTGACAGACAACGATAGTTGCTAGTTTTTGTTATGCATTGGTTTCAATAGAGTCAAGCTTCAATACAGCACCATCATCTTTAATGTGTTGTTAATATATTTATATATATAATTATATTTTCCCATTTTTGTCTTTGCTTTTCGAACTATTTTCACGTTAGCCGCTACCTTTCAGTAATTTTTCGACTTTCCTTTATATCCCTTGTTTTTTTTTTTAACTCTTAGTCGTAAACAAATAAATTTTCACGCTGTATAATATTACTCTGTAAGCTATATTGTGTTCATCTGCTATCCCTGTTTTTTTGGTAGTATATCCCCACCATTGTTCGTTTCCATTTGGGCGTGCCGGGGGACGACAACCTGGCTGGGGGAACCACTGACAGCTGCATTCTAGTCTCAATGAATGAATATTTGTTGTGAATGCATGTCAATTCCATTTTTTTCGTTAGTATTGTCCGTATACTACAAAGAACCGTATGTTCTCAATTGCATGTAAATTTCGTTCTTTTTGGTTTCAATGTTTTTTTTTCTTTTTCAAGTGAGCTCTTTTAAGCTCTCTATTTAATGTCGCCTTGTTTTTTCCATGGCTTTTTGTCACGTCTTATTAATGATTTCTTCTTCGATTCATGAATTTCTTGCTCCTATCTGCTTTGCAGTGATTACTGTATCTACAAAGTCAACACACACACAACTCTGTCTTTGGACTCTGAGCTTCGTCCTTGCTTTCAGCTTCCAATGGACTGTCAGCTTCAACTACTTACGACTCTCAGCTCGGAATGTGGACACCACAAACTGGACTCTGAACGTGGACTGCACACTCTGAACTTCAACTGTGGACAGTCAACTATCCTCTGGATTCTGTACTTAGACTGTCTACTCTGAATAGATCTTTAAACCGTTGACTCTTCAAAGATCTTCGGACTCTGAACTTCTCTGAACTTGGTCTTTGAACTTTGGAATTGTATTCGGGACTCCAAGCCTGGAATCTCAACTTGCTCTTTGGGGTCTGAAATCGGTTTTTGACTTTGAACCTCATCTTTGGACTCAGAACTCGGTCTTAGGACTTTGAACTTCGACTCACGGCTCGTACTCTGACCCTGGACTCAGAACTTCGTCTTTCGACTACGAACTTGGTATTTGGTCTGTATACTTCGTCCGGGGTAGGGAAACTTGGTCTTTGGACTCTGAACTTGGTCTTGGACTCTGAACTTCGTCTTTCGACTCTGAACTCGGCCTTTGTGCTCTGATCTCTTTTCCAATGCATGTTAATTTCATTCTTTTTGGTTCCAATGTTTTTTTCTTTTTGAACTGAGTTGTTTTAGCAGCTCTGTTTAACGTCGTCTTTTACTTTCCATGACTCTTTATCACGTCTTTTAATTATTTCTGCTTCGATTCGTGAATTCCTTGCTCCTATCTGCTTTGCCGAGATTAGTATATCTATAAAGCCCAGATTCTGCACTTCGACTATGACCTCGAAATGTGACCTTCGAGTACTTGCGACTCTGAGCTCCAAATGTGGACTCTGAACGTGGACTGCCGACTCTGAAATTGAACTGTCGACTCTGAACTTTCCTGTGGATTCTGTACTTGGACTGTCATCACCAAAAAGGTCTTTCGACTGTCTTTGGACTCTGAAATTGTATTCCAGACTCCTACCCTGGAATCTGAACTTGCTCTTTCGATTACTTCGTCTTTGGACTCAGAACTTGGTCTCTGGACTTACAACTTCGTCTTTGGACCCTGGACTTGGTCTTTACACTCTAAACTTGATCCAGGGTAGGAAAACTTCGTCTTTCGACTCTCAACTTGCTTCTTGAACTCTGAACTTGGGCTTTGGGTTCGGCTCTGAACTTGGTTTGTGGACTCTGAACTTTGAATGTGGCCTTACACTCTCACTCTGGACTGAGGATTGGACTTTGAATCTAGGCTTCGTCTCTGACTCAGGACTTTGAAGGTGCTGTTCATTCGCCTGTGAAGGTGGTTATCATTGGCCTATGCTTTGTGTGCTTAAACTAGCCTCCTCTGTACTACCACAAAGCCTTTGGCCATTACCAACTGCCTCCACATTGTTGTATGATTTTTCTCTGTGTGTAGTTTGTGGTCTCTGTTCCGCTATGGTGCGTTCTCTCTGTGGTGTGTGGTGTGTTTCATGCTCAGCCGTCTGCTCTTGTTCGGGTTTGTGTGTGTGCGTGTGTGTGTGTGTGTGTGTCTGTCTGTGTCCGTGCGCATTCGCATGTGCGCAGGGTTCGGCCCGCCATTGCATTATTGCCAGTATTGCAGGCTGTGTGCAGGGTTCAACTCACTATATGCATTTTCGCAGTGTTAGAGGTGGGGTGCAGGGTTCGGCCTGTGTGCTCTATGTTCTGTGCACTTTGTGTTTTCTGTCCTGCTATGGTGCATTCTGTTTGTGGTGTGTGTGTTCTCTGTCATGCTCAGTCGTCTGCTCAGTTTGGGGTGCACTCAGTTTAGGGTGTGCTCGTTTAGGTTCTACCCAGCTGGTTGGAAAATGGCCTGTTGTGGTGACCATTCACAACACACTTCAAAAACACAGCAAATCGGGCTCAGAACTTACACTCCAAAATTTGACTCTCATCTTGGTGCGACTTGGGACGGATACCTTGGGCTGTGACTTTGGACCGTCACGCGGGATTGTTACTTTTGACTGTTATTCGAGACTGTTATTTGGGACTGTCACTCGGGCAAATCAAGCAAGGGTAGTGTGTGTGTGTGTGTGCGCGTGCGTGTGTGTGTGTGTGTGTCTCAAGCTCCCCGGATTTGGTCCACGGATTCCCTGCTTGGATCGGTGCAAAGGATCCCTTGGTGGTCTTCTGCTCCCCCTTCTCCCTCACTTGGATTGGTCGTCTTTCTCTCATCTTGCAGGTGTGAACACTGCTGGGTTTTAAGTTCGCAGCGTTTTCTAGTTGCTTTTCTGCAGTTTGCTTGAAGTGGTTTGTCTCCTCTGCTGCTTCATGACCGGTGAGCAATATTCGACATAGAACGCATCCATCCGAAAGCCGCCCTTTTTGGATACTAGGGAATTTTGCACATTCAGGCGGTTCTGTTCTATCTTTTATCCCTTTCGTCCTTCCTGTCCCTTTTTGTATGTTGTACAGCACCCCTGTATGTTTCAGGATGAAGTGTACTTGTTTTTGTTTTTTAATGAGCAACCTTTTGAGCAGTAGGTGCAAGGAATATGAGCGAGAGGGATAGGAAGAAAACGTAGTTGCAAAGCACGAATTAGCTCAGATAGTCATTAACAAAGCACAAAACTCAATGCACCAACATACCATAATAAGCCCAATACAATGAACTGAAATGTCAATGCCGCGACTCTCGGGTCACATCAACACTGTATCTCATGTCGCTCTCATTGTCCGGCGCCCAGCCTATCTACCCTATCTACATTCTTGCAACTCACTCACTCTTGGGAGTTGAGACGTCGGCCTGTGATTTGGCGGTACACTGCATGTTCTGACTGGGGACTGGGGACTTGGTAGGGGACGAAAACTCTGGGATGTAGCGCTTGGAGGGTCTCAGATTCACATTCCGGATTGGGACAGGGACTGGGAATCGGGGCTTGGCGCTCAATATTTGGACTTTGGACGGGGATTCACACAGGGTCTGTGCCAACCATGGTGGGACCAGGACAACTGAGTGGGACAATTTTTTATTTAGCTTCCCCCTCTCCACTCTTTTATTTAGCTTCCCCCTCTTCCACATTCCCCCCTCCACAAGCTCTCTTCCCCCTCCCCACTCTTTTATTTAGCTTCCTCACCGGTTCCATCAACAACGGCTACCACACTACCTTACCCCTTCTCCCCCCCCCCCAACTCGATTGCACATCCCGCTTCTCCATCGGGAATGCTAATCCCATCTTTGCTGTCTGTCCACTTCATGGTCCACTGTCATGTCCACTTTAATGTGTGGTCCACTGTCTGGACCAGTCTGCTCCACTGTGCTTTCATATTCACTATGTGGTTCACTGTCTGGTCCACTTTCTGATCCACTTTCCGATCCACTTTCCGATCCACTTTCTGATCCATTATTTGTATTGTCTGATCCACTATTTGATCCATTGTGCTGTCTGACCCACTGTGTGGTTCACTGTCTGATCCACTTTCTGATCCGCTCTTTGTGTTGTCTGATCCACTATGTGATCCACTGTATGGACCAGTACCTGGTCCAGTGTGCTGTCTGTTCCACTGTGTGGTTCACTGTCTGGTCCACATTGTGATCCATTCGTTGTGTCCTGTCTGATCCAGCATGCGGTTCACTGTCTGGTCCACTGTTTGATCTATCATTGTGCTGTATGATCCAGCATGCGGTTCACTGTCTGTTTGATCCATCATGGTGTAGGTCTGATTCACTGTTTGGTTCACTGTCTGGCACACGAACCCTCCCCATTTATGCTGTCCAATCCACTGCGCGGTTCCCTGTCTGGTCCAGTTTCTGATCCCTTCTCCCGTCTGATTCACTGTGCGGTTCTCTCTGGTCCAGTGCATGGTCCACTATCTGATCCATTGTGCTGTCTGTTCCACTGTGTGGTTCACTGTCTGGTCCACATTCTGATCCATTCGTTGTGTCCTGTCTGATCCAGCATGCGGTTCACTGTCTGGTCCACTGTTTGATCTATCATTGTGCTGTCTGATCCAGCATGCGGTTCACTGTCTGGTCCACTGTTTGATCCACCATTGTGCTGTCTGATTCACTGTTTGGTTCACTGTCTGGCCCATGAACCCTCCCCATTTCTGTTGTCCAATCCACTGCGCGGTTCACTGTCTGGTCCAGTTTCTGATCCCTTCTCCCGTCTGATTCATAGTGCGGTTCTCTCTGGTCCAGTGCATGGTCCACTATATGATCCATTGAGCTGTCTGATCCACAGGGTGGTCCACTGTCTGGTCCACTGTGTGGTCCACAGTGTGATCCCCTGCGTAGTCCGCTCCAAGTGACGCAACGCAACCGTCTTCACGGAACCAATTAACTGACTTCGTGGGGGGAGGGGGGGGGGGGGGGGAAAGGGGAAGGAGGAATAGGACAAAGAGAGAGAACACGAAGGAGGAGATGGGAGGTGGAGAAGGGAGGTGGTGTCAAGCACGCAGAGCAGACAGAAGTGCTAAACCACATAGAAAGAGATAGACTTACGCATGGTCACACTAGCACTTTCTTCTACTAAGATACATTCAGGGGGATGTTGCAATCTTTTCCGATAATTGGAACTGATGTTTGCTTCGAATATTGAATCTACCAAACACAATCCATGATTCAGTTCTTTTATTTTTTCCCTAAATAATAGAGTCTACCTCACTTCAAAAAAGAAAAAAAAAAAAAAAAAATTCAAGTGCGGCAATGGAATTCTGATTCACGATTTATATTAAGATAGAGGTAAGAAACAGTATTCTCATTACTGTTCATTATCAGCAAATAACAAAAGAAAAGAATACTATGCAATTACAAAAAGAAAAAACAACCAAAGTATCTTTGATGAAAAATGACGAACGGGAAGTGGTGAAGAAAAACTAGCAGGTAGAATGTCACCTTCAGTAATTTCAGAACGTCCGAGACCTTCAAGCGCCGCCTAGGACCTGGACAACAGACTGCAACCATTTACAAAGGCTTTGGAACATCCAACACACTAATGCGGATCCACTAACGCAACCAACTATCATAGTCCTTACTTTGACAGTATGGAACACGAAGCAGAGAGTCACCTTTTTATCACGTGCTACCCTCTAAGTGCATTAGTGGGAGCTGTACCCCTGTGTGTGTGTGTGTGTGTTTGTGTGTGTGTGTGTGTGTGTGTGTGTGTGTGTGTGTGTGTGTGTGTGTGTGTGTGTGTGTGTGTGTGTATCCGGGTGTGAAGTTTTTGTAATGATGACAGATCTTCAATGATGCCTAGTTTTGTATTCCATGTCCTCCTCGAGTCTGAACCTTGGATAAGACTGTGCGGATTCCTTTCTTCTGGCTCTCAATAAGACGCCTCTGGACCTTGGATAAAAGCTGGTGTGCAGCATATCCCGACTTCTGGAAAGGATGTATTTATTGGATAAAAGGGAAAGTGAATAATTGGCACAACATTCTTTTCATAGGTTAAATGATTTTTTTTTTTTCAATATTTTCCATGGAAAAAAAACTGCTGTGAATGGGAACATGGATTTCATATTTTCAAAAATTTTCAGATTTTTTCTTCTATTCTTCTATTCTTCACAGTCCCACAGCATATTTTCAGATTTTTTCTTCTATTCTTCTCAGTGTGAAAAAAACTGGTGTGCAATGGGAACATGGATTCTAAACTGGGACTGTGATTCTGGGCTGTGATCCTGGGACTCAAATCCGGGATTCTCAACGGGGCCGCTGCACTACGATTCTGGGACTCTGCACGGGGACTCTCATCCTTTGTGGCATAAACCTTCAATATGTAATAATCGTATTCTTTTTCGAAAATTATGCTTAAGTTTTACTTTTTGCACGGAATATGAGAGTGAGCGATATACATAAAACGAAGTTACGAAATCACACAGCTGAGCAAGTAGTAGTATCCCAAGTAGAGAGTACAAATGCACCGAGAAAACCATCCATAAAGAGCAATACAATGAAGTATTGAGCCAATGTCCAAGCCCGCAGGCCACACCAACACAGTATCCAGAGTTGCTCTCTCTGTCTGGCGCACAGCGCCCAGCCTGCTCTACCACACTATCCTACTCTACAGGTGGTTCACACAACAGGATCACTTCGGCTCACAAAGACCAATGTACATGACTGTCAACACCATCGGCGACCTCTCTTCATGTACCAGGTATGTATCTCGTCACCCTCAATGACACCTTGATTACCCCACACAACGCCTCACTCCCTGAAGACCACCCGATCATCCGCTGTACCCCCTGGCGCCTAGCAGCCCGGCTATGGCCGCCGGCGCGCTATTGCCCTGCAGCGCCCCACTTCACCTCTCGCGCTCCGTCAGCGCCCTTGGCAGCAGCGCAGCATCAAGGCAATAGCGCAGCAGCACTTCCCCAATGCCAGCACTGGCCAGAATGCCTGCCTTGGGCTGCCTCACTTCCTTTATGGAAGTGGCAGCCTGCTGTATGCTACGTGTGGCCTGGCTGGAGACTTCCAGTAGCTTCCGGTTGGGCCTCATACCCTGTGCCCAGGCCGAGACTGACAGTTGAGGGCCTGGGCCCCTTTACAGTTGGGCGCGGCCTGAGTCTCCGGACTTGGGCTGTTAGCTGCATCTGCGCAGGGCCCCCAGGTAGGTGCGTCGGCTGTACTGCTTTTCCAAAGGCCGACGGCCTGCTTCTCAATTTATCGGCCCTGCTTTGTGTGTAGGTGCCGAGGCACAACTTTCGTGGCCTGGGCCAACTGTACGGCGCAACTTTGTGAGTCTCGTGCGTTCAATCAACCAACTGATGCGCTGCAAGAGCCTGAATACCCACATCCGGAAATGTTAAATTTGGCCTGTGACGAATATTCAGGCCCACCTTCACTTAGCCAGAGTGGACTCTGAGCTCGGAGTGTGAACTCTCAAGTTGGACTGGAGTGGACTCTGAGCTCGGAGTGTGATCTCTCAAGTCGGACCGGAGTGGACTCTGAGCTCTGAGTGTGAACTCTCAAGTTGGATTGTTGACACTGCTCACTTAGCTTGGACCGGAGTGGACTCTGAGGTCGGAGTGTGAACTCTCAAGTTGGATTGTTGACTCTGAACTTTGACTGGGGACTTCGAACATTGTCTTTGGACTTGGACTCCAGCTCTCTCACTGTGGACTCTTGGCCGGGACTGGACTCGAACCCCGGACTCAACCATGAGACTGGACTCAACTCAGAGCCTGGACTGGACTCTGAGCTTGGACCGGACTGGACTCTGAGCTCCGAGTGTGAGCTCTCAAGTTGGATCGTTGACTCTGAACTTCGACTGAGGACTTCGAACTTTGTATTTGGACTTGAGCGTGGACTGTGGGCTTAGACTCGAATCCTCGACTATGAGCCTGGAATTGGTCTTTGAATTCTATCCTTGCACCCTGCGCTTAGACGTTGACCCTGAGTCTGGACTGGACTCCAAGCCTGGACACGACTCTGGGCCTGGACTGGACTCTGAGATTGGACAGGACCCTCAGACTGGATTGGACTCTCGGATCGGACTTCACAAAAAAGAAGTGCGGCTGTGCAGACAACTATTCGTTATGTTCTGTTTTATTGTTTTTTGTTTTGTGCATGAACTTCGGTATGCGGTGAATTGTATGATAATGCACTCCATTATTTGTTCACTTATTATTTGTTCCCTCCATTATTTGTTCACTTATTATACGCTGGTTTTCTTTTTCATTGTTTTTCAGGTCCTTGCTCTTCATTCGCTGCCTTGTTTGAAGAAGGTAGGTGCTCCTCCGACTTGGTTCGAAGATTGGAACAGGGGCTCGAGACTGAGGATCAAGATCTGAACATAAGAATTTGGGTTTCAACTTGGGACGTTGCACCTGTGGCTTGAGAGTGGGACCTGGGACTTGTAGCTCGAACTCGGAACTTGGACTCTTAACCCTGGATTCTCACCTTCGACTATGAAACTACACTGGGCTTAGACTCTCACCTTGGACTCTGACCTTGGAGTCGATTCTGAGCCTCGACTGGACTGTGAGCTTCGACTGGACTCTGACCTTGGACTTCACTGTGAGCTAGGACTGGACTCTGAGCTTGGGCTGGGCTTTGAGCTCCCAATGGACTCTGAGCTTGGACTTGTTAAGACTCTGAGCCTGGAATGTAGACTCTGAACTTGGACTGTGGATTCTGAACTTTGCAAGCATAGACTCTGAACTTGGACTCAGAGATTACACTATGACCCTGGACTGGACTTCGACTCTGTGCATATGTCTGTGTGTATGTTTGTGAATGTGTGTGTCACAGCCTGCATCTTGTACTTAATTTTTTATCCTTACGCTCAGACTGTGAGTTCTTTGTATTAATTTTTTATCCTTACGCTCAGACTGTGAGTTCTTTGTATTTCTCATTTCTTGACTGAATAACTGACGTTACGGAATGGTACCTATCCTGTCTGCCAAAGGTGCTTTCCTATCCATCCGCATGGCAGTTGCTGTGCATGTGTGTGTGTGTGTGTGTGTGCGTGTGTGTGTGTGTGTGCGTGTATGTGTGTGTGTGTGTGTGTGTGTGACAGTCTGCACCCTTCCTCTGTGTGTGTGTGTGTGCATGTGTTGGGGCATGAGTGTGTGTGTGTGTGTGTGTGTGTGTGTGTGTGTGTGTGTGTGTGTGTGCGCGTGACAGTCTGCACCCTTGTGTTTTTTAACTCTTAGATTATTTTATGATGCAAAATATTACTCTGTAGACTATTCTTCTGTTAATTTTCTATCCCAGTTTTTGCTGTACTATGTCCCCCCGTTGTTCGTTCCCATTCGGGGATGACGGGGGAGGACGACCCTCTTAAAGGTTTTTGGACTCGAAACTTGGGCTGCATTCTAGTGTCAACGAATGAATTTTTGCTGTGAATGCATGTAAATTCTACTTTTTTGGTTTTATTGTCAGTGTACTACAAATAACCGTATCTTTTCGAATGTATGTAAAGTTCATTCTTTTTGGTTTCAATGTTTATTTCTTTTTCAAGAGAGTTGTTTTAGCTTCTCTTTTTAACGTCGCCTCTTACTTTCCATGGCTTATTACCACGTATTTTAGTGATTTCTTCGATTCGTGAATTCCTTGCTCCTATCCGCTTTGCCGGGATCAGTATATTTGCAAAGTCAACACACACAACTCGGTCTTTGGGCTGTAAGCTTCGACGTGGCTTTGACCTTACAATGGACTGTGAGCTTCGAGTAGTTACGACTCTGAGCTTGGAATGTGCACTCTGAACGTGGACTGTGGACTCTCAACGTGGACTGTGGACTCTGAACTTGGACTGTCCTGTGGATTCTCTACTTGGACTGTCGACTCTGAAAAGGTCTTTGGACTGTCGACTCTTTAAAGGTTTTTGGACTCGAAACTTGGTCTTTGGACTCTGAAATTGTATTTGGGACTTGACCTTGGAATCTGAACTTGCTCTTTGGACTCTGAAATCTGTCTTTCACTTTGAACTTCGTCTTTGGACTCAGAACTCGGACTTCGGACTTTGAACTTGGACTCAGGGGTCATACTCTGACCCTGGACTCAGAACTTCGTCTTTGGACTCTGAACTTGGTCTTGGATTCTAAACTTGGTCCAGGGCAGGGAAACTTGGTCTTTTGACTCTGAACTTGGGCTTTGGGTTCTGAGACTCTGAACTTTTACTAGAGACTTCTAACTCGGTCTGTGGACTTCGAACCCCGAATCTGGGCTTAGACTCTCGCTATGGATTGAGGACTGGACTTTGAATCTGGGCTTAGACTCTCGTTGTGGACTTTGAAGGTGGTGTTCATCGCTTCTCAAGTTGGTTTTCACTGGCCTGTGCGTTCTGTGCTTAAACTAGCCTGCTTTGTACTATCACAAAGCCTTTGGGCGTTACCAACTGCCTCCATCTTGTTGTGTGCTTTGTGTTCTGTGCAGTCTGTGTTGTCTGTCATGCTCAGCCGTCTGCTCTTCTTCGTGTGTGTGTGTGTGTGTGTTGTCTTTAGCCTGCTATGGTGTCTGCTCTTCTTGGTGTGTGTGTGTTGTCTTTAGCCTGCTATGGTGTCTGCTCTTCTTGGTGTGTGTGTGTATTGTCTTTAGCCTGCTATGGTGCGTTTTCTTTGTGGTGTGTGTGTTGTCTGTCATGAAGACCCGTCTGCTCTTGTCGGTATGTGTGTGTGTGTGTGTGTGTGCGCATCCGCGTGTGGCAGGGTCCGGCCTGCCATTGCATTTTTGCAGTATTAGAGGCCGTGCGCAGGGTGCAGCCTGCCATTGCATTTTGCCAGTATTAGAGGTGGGGTGCAGAGTTCGGCCTGTTTGCTTTGTGTTCTGTGCAGTCTGTGTTCTCTGTCCTGCTATGGTGCATTCTCTTTGTGGTGTTTGTGTTGTCTGCCATGCTTAGCCGTCTGCTCTTGCGGGTGTGTGTGACTATCGAATTGTTTTCTTTCCCTGGCTTACATTTTTTTTGTTTGGGTTTAGGGGTCAGGTTTAGGGGCTAGGGTTCAGGGTTTGGGGTTTAGAGTTTAGGGTTTACGGGTCAGGGGCAAGGGGTTTATGGTTTACGGTTTAGGTTACGTCGTTTTATATAGGTCACTTGTATTTGCAGCCTCTTTCAGCCACTGCTTGCAACATGACAGGCCAGCATGTGACTTTGTCCCCCGATATTACGACGGACAACTACGAATGACAGACAAGAACGAATGCAAATTTCTGATCTAGCAGTCTCTTCTTTGGTTATGGTACAAAATATTTTTGTTGTTCTCATTTCATTTTATTTTTTTGCTGTATTCTTCCCCATTTATGGGGTATTCCGTTTTCTGGACCAACTATATGGTTCTGCTTTTTTTAACTATGGATATGGTAGAATTTGTGTTCGTAACGTTGTGTAGTCGAAACTCGGGCCTGCGAACTTTGACTCAAAATGTGTCTAGTCGCAACTCGGAAACTCGGGCCCCAAATGTGGACTAGGGCTCGGGACTCAAACCGACACTGCGAAGTTTGACTCAAAACGTGTCTAGTCGGAACTCGGGCCCGGAATGTGGACCACGAGTTGGGACTGGGAGTTATGTTGACTTAAGAGTTTCTCTTTTTGCTGTTCACATGAGATGTGACTAAGTCTCTGACCGCGGTTTACGGTTCAGGGTTCAGGGTTTAGGGTTTACGGTTTAGGGTTCAGTTCAGGGTGGCTTTCAGGGTGTAGTGTTTACTGTTCAGGGTTTAGGGTTCAGGTTTCAGGATCGAGGGTTTGCCGTTTTACGGTTTAGGTTTGAGGCTTCAGGCTCCAAATGTACGCTTCAGGGAATAGGGTATAGGGTTTAGGTTATAGGCGTTGTGCATCGTGCTTCTTACCTTTGTTCTATGGGTTTATGCATGTGTATTTTACTATTTTTTCAATTATCCTGTTATGCATCGTACTTCGTACTTTTGTTCACCTATAATTTCCAATTGCAGCTTAACGTCAGTGTTTAGGGTTTACGGTTTAGCGTTCAGTTCAGGGTTTAGTTCGGGGCTTACTGTTTACTGTTCAGGGTTTAGGGTTTAGGGTTTAGGGTTCAGGGTTTTGGTTTATGGTTTACGGTTCCGGGTTGAGGCTTTAGCCTTAAAGTTTTGGCTTTGGGGTTTCAGGGTTTAGGGTTATGGGTTGAGGGTTGAGGGTGTTGTCTGAAATTTCGTACGAACGTGCTTTCATTTGCAGTTCATATCTCGTCGAATTATCGTGGTGGTCTTCCGTTTTTGTATTTGTTTTCCCCCTCATCTAACTATCCTTTACTTTCGTTCCGTTCCTTTTTTTCACCCGATTAGAACGCCCGGTCATTATACTTGTATTTTGTGCAACTTTGAGTTTAGAAACATTGATAATGACCAGCCGTTCTATTCGGCTGCCGCGGTCCCCACACGTCGGTATGCGAGCATCTGGTATGCCAAACGTATCTTCCCATATTCTGTGGGAATTTCATTTTCTCTTATTCTACGTGGACGGCAACCCTTACCGTAGAACGACACCGCAGATCTACTCTCTTGCATGCAGGTTGTGTTGTTGCAATCAGCAGGTTGTGTTGTTGCAATCAGCAGGTTGTGTTGTTGCAATCAGCAGTTCTTTTCACTTCTTGACCAGCTTGCCTTCCCAACACGACTAATGTGTAGCTTTGGGGGCTTTCAACCTCCTCTGCGGCACACTTTGCATATGTCCCTGGTGCGGAACCCTTCCCACAGGACTACTCTGGGTACTCCAGGGGCCTTTGAACCTCCTTTGCAGTGCACTGCTACGCAGTTCGTGTTGTCGACCACATGACCAGACCTGCACGAGGAGCGAAACAGCCTGCCCTGCGTTCTCCACTATGGAAACGCAGCAGATCGACCGCTCATGATTTGGGGATGGAGGCTGGTCCTGCAGTCTTCAGGCTAGCCGGTCTAGGGACTCCGGACACTGACTGCTTCCACCTGATTGACCGAGTTCCTCCCTTCCTGCTTGCTCAATCATTGTCTCTGTTCATGCAAGTACATTTTATGTAATCGGATTTTATTGCAATTTTGCAGTTTTCTGCATGTCTGCGCCACTTACTTTTATGTTTTCTCGTGTTACTGCTCAGTGAGCACCCTCCTTATTGTCTTCTCTGGAAGCTGCAATCGCGGTCCCGTACGTCTTACTGCCCACCTGGTCTCAGTCCACGTCCCAGCCTGTGTAACGAACTGGACGCTGGGTCTCTCGTCATTTCTTAATGACCTAGCCTATTGCCTTAGACTTGCAGTGAAATCAATAACATTGCTTCGAGGAT